GGGCTGCATCTTCAAGGACACGTCTACCTAGACTGGATCCTTAAAAGTCCTTGAAAATAAGGAGACCGGAAGAGTTTTGGCTGTGAATTCAAACCTTCGGCAGCTTTTACCACTGTAAGCTGCGTCACCTAGCAACCATGATAGTTCACACACAAAGCAGGAAAATAATTATTACCGAACTTTTCAAAACTGTTTCTTTTTCATTTTTTTTTATTTATTGTAAAGTGAACAAGGACTGATGAGAATCCAGAATGGAATGAAAGGTTCCAACCACCGGGAGCAGGAATAAATAAAATCAAATGTAATGATAGAAACCTTCACTTTAACTTTTTTTTAAAGAAAGAGATAAACAGTTTTGAAAACCTCGGTATTCATTCTTTTCCTGCTTTGTGTGTCAACTTTCACAGTTGCTCAGCAACAGAGCATGCGTCGGTAAAACCTGTTGAAGGGTAGACCTGTTCGAATTCACAGCCAAAACTCTTCCGGTCTCCTTATTTTCACGGACCTCAAAGGATCCAGTCTAGGTAGACCTGCGTCCTTGGAGAAAGCAGCCCAGGTTTTAGAACAGAGATCATATCTCTCCTATCCTGGCTTCTCTTCATTGGCTTCCTGTTAAATCCAGAATAGAATTTAAAATCCTCCTTCTCACATATAAAGCCTTAAATGGCCAAGCTCCATCTGATATCAGAGATCTGATTGTTCCTTATGTTCCTAACAGAGCACTTCGCTCTCAATCTGCAGGTTTACTAGTGGTTCCTAGAATTTCTAAAAGTAGAATGGGAGGCAGATCTTTTAGTTCTCAGGCTCCTCTCCTGTGGAACCAACTACCAGTTTTAGTCCGTGAGGCAGACACCCTGTCTACTTTTAAGGCTAGGCTTAAAACTTTCCTTTTTGATAAAGCTTCTAGTTAGAGTGGCTCAGGTTATCCTGAGCTATCTCTATAGTTCTGCTGCTATAGGCTTAGACTGCTGGAGGACATAGGGACCCCTTTTTCATCATTCTGCTTCATTCTATCTCTATTCTCCCACTCTGCAGAATCTGTTAGTTCAATCTCTAACGTTCTGCTCTCTCTGCTTTTTCTCACAGTAGTTTCATCTGGTCTGTTCCTGTTTGGCTGTGACTCCATCCTGGAGAGAAATATCAGCTGTGCTGCTGCCATCAGCACCTTTGTTTCTAGATGTTGGAGCTTGGCCTGTTTTCCAGTGTAGTCCTGTTTCTCTGACTGTGACTAACTGGATGTGCTCTCTTCATCCTCTGACATGGGAGCTGGCTCGGAGCTCGTCTGCCTGGCTGTGTGTTTCCTGGACGGGGCCGCCTGTGGAGCTGGTTGACAGTTGCCTTTTGTATCTATGCTTCTTTTTCTATGTCTGCTTCTGTCTCCTTGAACCCCAGTGGGCCTCAGCAGATGGCCGCTGACACTGAGCCTGGTTCTGCTGGAGGTTTCTTCCTGTTCAAAGGGAGTTTTTCCTCTCCACTGTCGCTAAAAGCATGCTTAGTGTGAGGGATTGCTGAAGAGTCAATGAGTCGATGCAATCAGCTGGTTTTTCTTAGATACAGTTGATATGTGTTGTGAACTGGTGCTATATAAATAAACCTTATTCAAATTGAAATTAAATTTATTTCAATAAGTCCTTTATTGTAATTACTAGCTATAGTTTTAAAGGTCCCATAACGTGGAAAACCAACGTTATTTATTTTTTAGCTTTTAACAATATTTGCATGTTAATCATCCTTAAAACCAGGCAAAGGTTGTAACCGGTTTGATTCATGCATGTCTGATAAATGCTAATGAATGTTGCCACATCTTGTCCTGGAGAGCAAGCAGCCATGGTTGCCCTACGTAGGACAGTCATTAACCCCCCCTTAAGGAAGCACCTACCTCGACTGCTCTGCTCGAGGTCAGACCGTTTTAACTGATTCCTCTTGTGGGTAACTTTGTCATATATTTCAACCTTTTATTGCAAACAAATCTTTTTCTTGATTAGCGTGATTATAAACTCTACCTGAGTGATAAACAAAGGTCAGTCATCTCAGCACAGGGCCTCTGTCGGTCCGATGGCCTTTAAACAGACCTCAGCTATAGGATCCCAGTGTTTGGGGGGGGGGCAGAGTCTGTGTCAGGATGACACAATGAAGTATTAGTTTGGAAACTGACTCTGACATTTCGATTTGTCGCAGTGACCTCTGTCCAGGTCGGTTCATTAGGGACCCGCACTGCTCTGATGAGGATGTCAGAAAATGTCAGAATTATTAAATATATGGAGATTTTAGACTTTGCTTTCACTGTTTTTTGCTTTTTCCTGTTTAATTTACAACATGGTGCATTCAGCAGTCTGGTGACTGGAAAGACGGGAACAATTATCTTAAAAATGTTTCTATCGTTTAAATCAAACACATCCTGGAAACTCCTAATAAATTTCCTAACAATGTAGAATAATTCACTAACAAATGGGAGAATACATGGTGGTAATATCCATGTCTTAAATACAGTCTAGACGTATTTAACGCTATTTCTAAGCACACTCGTATGCGATGATATTACACTAGCTTATTTAACACAAAGTCATATTTTCATGACTGTATTTTTTTATGACAGCAGACGGGAATTTCAATGCAAACGTTTCTATTTCCAAACAATACAGAAAAAAACTAGCTTTGCAAGAACAGAAACTAGAGTGATGTCACTGGTAGTGAGTCTCTTTTGTTGTAAAAGAAAGTTTTGCAGTTTTTACCGGGTAAGCTGAACTTGAAGGTATTGTGGAGGATTTTTTTTTTTTTTTTTATGTTATTTTTATTTTAACAGTGTCCTGTCTGGCACTAGCCTCGTGAGACCATCCTGATCTCGCGAGCTTTCAAGGTTTCACTCGCAGATCAGTCTGGAGACTCTCCGTTGAAGAAAATTTTCGAGCCGTTCACCAAACGAACGTCCAATCAGCGTTGGCTTTGAGGCGGGTTGAGGTGTGACGCAACGAGAAGCGCGACAGTTCTGTCTAAAGAACATGGCGGCTTCAGCCGATGAAACTAGCGTTAGCGTGGCTATCGAGCAAGTTTTATCGGAATTACAGAGTATTTCTTCACTGAAAGAAGAGCAAAACACTGCTCTGGAGGCTTTTCTCAGAGGAAAAGATGTTTTTGCTCTTCTCCCGACTGGTTTCACCAAGAGTTTGATCTATCAATTGGCTCCTCTTCGTCGTCGCTCTGTTAGTACGTCATATGCTTCGTTGATCTGATTGGTTTATTTGGCCCGTCTATCACCAACATAGGCCAATCAGCTAACCAGTATTTTCGCCCCTTCCCAAAATTACTTCAACGGAAGGTTTCTAGATGGAAATGTGGAGCAAATCCATCTGGGGGGGTCAGGTTAGTCTGGCAATGCGGCAATAAGAATAATTGTCTTGATGCCAAAAAGAGCACAACAGACTTTACTTTCACAAGTGGAGCAACATGGCAATTGCCATATTGCTCCACTTGTTTCATGCATATAAATTGCTTTATTATAATTATGCAGCGAGTTTTACGGTTGTGGAGGATTTTTTAAAAGACCCGCCCTCTGTACTTTGAAAAAAAAAATGCACGAGTCCATTTCTCCTCCTGCACGCTCTGTTTAAAATGTGCTGTTCTCATGGTTCATAGAAGCTAACTGTGTCCACATACAGCGGGGACTATATGGTGAACTTTATAGTGATCTCAGTTAACTGACCGTTCAGACAGATGATCACTGCTTTTTGCTCCGTTGGTCACGTAACTCCGCCTCTACCGCGCAGTGCCTGCGCCATCTTTGTTATTAGTCGCCACTGTCGAGTGGGACACTTTGACAGCGAATCCCATAATGCTTTGCGAGGAGAGCTCTCTGCGCAAAGCATTATGGGATATATCTGCCTCTTCTGAGGCCTTTCTCTTCTTCTCATTCACTTCTTATGACCGTCGGCCATTTTCCAAGATCCGCGGTGAGAAAGGTGAGCTTCAATGACTGTCTGAAACCGGGACGAGCTCGTACGAAGGCCTTACGGAAACATGTCACCAGAATGATCGACAGTTAGGAGGACCACTGATTGAGATGATCCACCCGTAAATAAAAGATCCTCCTCTGTACCATTAAACAACTATTTCTAGACATTACAACATCTCAAACCGTCCATCTAAAAGACCATCAATTTTTATAAAGTGTCACAAGAGAAAATAAGAATAAGATCTAAATTATCAAGAACTTCACACCAAAGAAATGCAGGATTAGCATTTCAGTGATTGCTGATCTACAGGGAACAGATCCAATAGAAGATGTACGGCAAGACCCAAGGACCACAATTCATGTTTTATGCAACATCTGGTGGTGTGGTATAGTTTTTCCACAACTTATGTCAAACATGATGATTATAATGATAATAACAGAACGATGGAGCAGTTGGAAGACCTGAAACAATAGAGGTTCTCCATGTTTTTACAAATGACCTGCATGACAAAATCAGCCAATAGGATAACCTACAGAAATATAAACCATTTATTCCAAATCTAAAAGCATTAATTATCCACTGCATTAACAAGCCGTAGAACAACAAAGACATTAAGACAAAACAACCCACCAGGCTGAAGATGTACTTGACTTTCCAGGAATAAAAAGGATCGAGTTTTAGAAACATCTGCTGTTTTACGGTCAGCAGGCTGTTTTTCCTCCTCATGCTGCTAAAAAGCTCCACCATCTGGCCAGGAGAGAGTCCCCACTCTCACCCCCACTCTCACCCCCACTGACCCTGGCTGCTGTACAGCTTGTCTCTGACATCAGTTTCCATTAGCTCCTCGGTCATTACCAAGTTTCCATTGATGCAGCAGCGCAGTCTCAGTGACGTCAAGCCATGTCCTTGATGCAGAAGCAGAGCCAAGTCACCTGCTGAGGAGCTCAACAAGTGTGTGTGTGTGGGTGTGTGTGTGTGGGTCAGATGGAGAGGGAACGATGGAACCGTGTGTGTGTGTGTCTGACAACAATCACACAGGAGGGTACTTACTGCAGAGAGCGATGACGTGGCTGCTGTCTTCATGCACAAATTTCTTAGTTACTGCTTCTTCCATAATCTGCTTCACCTGTAAATCAAAAAACAGTGCCGGTCACCTCAGATGACTACGGAAAAAAAAACATAATATGACAAGAATGTCTTCATTTCCGCATTTTTAAAGAAAAACAGAAGCTGAAAAAAAGAAATGCTTCAATGTTAAAACATCCTTGCCTTTCCCTTAAATCACCACTAAGGAGAACGACTCATTAAACTATAATTACTGATTTATAATACACCCAGCTTTGCTGTGTTCACATTAAAGGTGTTTTAAGCTTCAAAAACACAGAAATCTGGACACTGGATCAAACTGTGGTCGAGGCGCTCTGGTTGTTTATCTGCTCTGTTCTGCAGCTTCCAGCTAGAGAGCAGTTTGGGTTTGTTCACTTTATGAGTCGCAAAAATAGTTTTAACAGGTTTTTTAGTGAGAAAGTCCACCTCCAAACATCCTCTGTTCATCAGTTCATCAGGATTATAATCCCACTATAATCTGCAGTTCTTTCTGGGAGCTCCAGACCTCCAGCGTACCGCCAGGAGGCAGCGCTGGGAATCCCCGCTGGAAGCTCTCTGCTGCGGCCAGCCTGTGGGGGATTTCCTGCTGCCGTTTGGAAGTGAATAGAAAGAGTTTTTAAGAAGAAATAAAAAAAAAAGTTGACTGATTTTTAAAGATTTTTTCAGTTTGATATGGGATTAAAGTCAGAATTCTGAGAAAAAAAGTCCATCTGACTTTTTTCTCATATTATGTTGAAATAGAAATTAAAAATTAGTTTAGTTTTTTTTTCAGTGGCCCTATTCCTCTTCTGTAAGAACCAGAATATAAAATTGAATATTTTTCATCAGCAGGTTTTAACATTTCTAGTTAATCTGGGTGTTTCTAGTTAATCTCCATAGTTGATAAAACTGTTTTAGTGCAGCAATAATGATCAGAGCTGCTCTCTGTTCCTTCTGCATAACTTCTTGATATTTATTTATTGTTCATATGCAGAATGTCTGCAGAAACCACAGCAGGTAGTGTCTGTCTCCTGGATCAGCTTTTCTGATTGGTTGTCGCTGCGGCGTCCAGCGGCAAAAGTTCAATTTACTGAACTCCAGCGTCGGACGCCAGAACGCTCTGACCCATCACTGAACCCCTCCACGCCGTCCCCATAGACTTCGCATGTAAACCAGACTCTTTGACGCCCAGAACGCTCCCGGTCTGAACGCAGCATTATGACTATTTAAACAATTAAAGTTGCCATCTTGTCTCCTCAATCTTGGGATTATTCTGTGCTTAAATCTGACATTGCTGTACCTAACAATGATGTTAGGATTGCTGTCTTTGTGGTTTGTGTATTTGTGTTGTCTCCCTTCCTCCACCAGGAGGCGCCTTGTTCTGATCCGCCTCCTCACACACCTGCTGATGGTTACCTCGTTAACGGAGTGTTCTTAAGCTGCTGACTGCCACTACCTCGACGCCAGAGTGTTTGCCAGTTTTGGGTACTCTAGCCAAGCTGAGTTTTTACTGATTCAAACTGAGTTTTGTCAACCTGAGTCCTAATCGAGTTATTTTGTCTTTGCCTCTCAGCAGGAAGTCATCCTGCAAACTGGATATTTCGGACCTTCTCTCCCTGGAAGGATCATCTGAGCTTCAAACTGAGCTGGGGATTCAAACTGGAGGTTTGGATCCACTTTCCTCCAAGGGATTCATCTCCACACCAACCCGTTCAAGTACCGCAGGAAATCCAAGTGGCAGTCAGTTTAACCGTTCACCTACAAACAACTGCGTTCTGGGTAAACCCTGTCCGCCCTCCACCGAACGAAACAAACTCTGGAACTACCGCATACAGACTGGAATCAAAGAGTCAACCACTTTTCTGGAAACGTGAGCCAGCAACCTAATTCTTCTCTTCAAAGTTCAAGAATCAGATTTCCCACTGAGCCTGAACTAACCACAGTGTCTTCCCCTCACTTTCCAGTTCCTGTTGAGCAGTGCTCAGAGCAACGCAAGATTCTGCATTATCTCCTCAATAAACCTGTTAAACCTTTTCCCTGGTCTCTCTGAATTGGTTTCTCTGCATGTGGGTCCGACCTCTTGATAAAATCATGACAGATGGACTCAACAACAACATAGGGTTTCGAGGAAAGTCCTCTTTCTAATGTGTGTTAGTTTGATTGAATGTTTCTTCTTCTGGTTTTTCAGATGCAACTTTTCAAGCCTAACAAAATCTGCTGCACACTTTTTAGAAGGGAGGCTCTTTCTTTCTTTCTTTCTTTCTTTCTTTCTTTCTTTCTTTCTTTCTTTCTTTCTTTCTTTCTTTCTTTCTTTCTTTCTTTCTTTCTTTCTTTCTTTCTTTCTTTCTTTCTTTCTTTCTTTCTTTCTTTCTCGCTTTCTTTGTTTCTTTCTTTCTTTAAGTTTATTTGATGGGAAGAGACACACATCGACCTAGAACAACTGAACAGAACGGCAGTCCCATGTCTGCATCATAGTGCAATAGCAGCCACTAATTTGCAGCACTTAGATGGACTTTAAAACGTACTTCTAAAAATTGTGATGTAAATCCTTTAATTTCCCTTTTATTGTCCCACAATGGGGAAATTCCCTCTCTGCATTTAAACCCTCCCCTTGGGGAGCAGTGGGCTGCCATTGTGAGGCGCCAAGGGAGCAGTGTGGGGTTACGGGTCTTGCTCAGGGACCCAGAGTGCAGGCTGTGGGGAACGAACCATGTACTTGCAGCCTTCTCAGAGCACCAGAGCACTGCTCTAACCACTGACCATCACTCTACAAACAAACTGTGAAACATAAAAACATCAAAAATGGTTCTAGTTCTGTTTTTGAGATAACCAAGGTTTTATTTTTATTTGTTTTTCGAACATACTAAAACTGGTTACAGACTTTAAATCAGCAGGAAGTGACTTTCAGCCCCCATCTTCCCATGTGTCCCATGTAACGCCGAAAGGTTTCAAAACGGTTCAGAGGCGTTTAAAAGTAAGTCGCCTTAAACAAAAAACAATCTGTGGATGTAGATGGAGCCCAGATGGCAGCGGTTCAGAGAGAGCGCTAACGTTCCTGGTGGGCCCAGTGAGGAATTTGTTATTAGGCATTAGGGCCCCATAAGACTCTGTTTACATGTATGGTTAATACAACTCAGATTTCAGCTTTCAAACCTACAATGCAGCAACTGAGTTGATTCTTTCCTGCTATCACTGCAACCCAGTTCAACCCAGTTCAGCCAGACCAACAATTCCCTTTAACAACCCCCCTTTCAGAGACATAGACAGGTATGGGGCATTGCAGGCTTACAAAGAAGCCAAACGACCCCCATTCCAAAGGGGGGGACCCGTTCATCCGTTTCTATTTGCATGTTTTCTAAACTAAAACCAGGCTTTGTTGGGCTGCTGGATAAAACCTGGAACTAAACGCTATTTCTGACATTTTGAATTAAAAAATCTTCCTGGATGGAAGACTTGGAGACAAAGTCCAGCGGATTGATTTTTTTAATGTTTTTGGAACATCAACGGGAAACACACAATTATTGGACACACAGGGTGAAAGTGCGAGTGTTTAGACACGTCCATTCTATGCTTTTATCAAGGACAAGAAAAGCAGGGGAAGCTTGTCAGAGCAATCTGATGCTAACTAGTGAAATTAATCAGCTCCTCAGGGTTTTACAAACATCACGGCTTTATGGTTAACAAACAGCATCCTTCAAGAAGGGAAGCTTTGATGGATTGTTTCAATTAGTTTCTGGTTGGGACAGTTTTACTACAGCGACATGTTGCACTCACACATCAAAGGCGCTTTCACCTGAAAGGTTTCAGTCTGTTTCTGCTGTTTGCCTATAGAACAGTAAAAAAGTCTTCTTGAAAGCTAAAGCTATTATCAAGAGGCCTAGAGGCTAATATCGCCATGACTACAGAGGAGACAGAGCATCGAGGCCCCTGATTATTAATAGGCAAATGTACGAGTGATCCTGCGTCCTCATAATTTGGTCAAACAGCGGCTCTGACAGCCGAGCCCAAACCTCCGTATCACAGATTCTAATTAATATGGTGGCATCCTGAAACCTTCAGCAGTCTTCCAACTGTTATCTGCAGAGTCTCTGGGGAAGAGTTGATCAGACCTGACTCTGCTGTTCGCCTGTCTGCGTTCTCGCTCTGCGCTCAATGAAATGCCCTCAGTAATTAATTTGGAGCCTGTCTGACACCTCCGCCTTGTTTAGGTCGAATTCATTAACAGGAGGAATTTATTAACTAGTTGGTGTGATAACAAAGCCCCAGACTACATCAGCCGCTCCGCTGAATGAAAACTTTTCCTCTGCCTGTGAAGAGCACTGTGCTGCGGTACTGCCGCTGTAGATCAACGGAGAAATAAAAACATGAGTTAATTTCCACTGAAAATATAGAACTATTTTGCTAGAAGAAAAACACAAGTCAATAAAGAGTAGAGCTGAAGCAATTAATGGGATTAATCAATTATTGTCAACTAATTTATTAATCGATTAATCATTAAATGTAGTATAGCGACTTTAAACATGCCTTTAGCTGACAGAGGGACTCACTTAGAGCAGGAATTAAATCAAAATGATTAAAAAACATAGAAACTTGCATTTAAGCTACAAAAAAAAAAACATTTTCTTCTATCAATCTGCTCTATCCAGAACTCCTCAAATGGAAAAGTTTTAGTTTCACCTAAAGTTTCATTTCATAAAAAAATCTTCTTTAAGGAACCTTTGGCTGATTATTAATCGATTATTGGAAAAAATAATTGACAGATTAATCAGTTTGCAAAATACACTGCAAAAAAATCAAAATCTAAATGATTTATTTTTGATTAAATTAAGTGCATTTTTTCTGGAATTGAGGAGATAAGTGACACACTTTGCCAATGGAACAAGACCATTTACATTTAAAATAAGAAAAAAAACAGCTTTGTTTTATTTCAAGCGCATATTATCTAATTATCTTTTTTTTAGGTGTTAAAATACTAATTCCATTGGCAAATAATTTTATTTATCAGCTTAAATTAAGGGTAAATACACCTAATTTAAGAAT